CATTTTAAGCCTTTTGGTATAAAAATGAATCTGTGTTCCTGAACCTATTTCACTCCTAAAATGCATAAAATTTGGAGACAATGTCATAACAAACATTTCTGACAATGATAATTAAAAAAGAAAAATTAAATCTTTCTTGTCCATTTTAAGTTGTTTCAAAGAAAAAAAAAACTTTGTTGAATATTTGTAGTTAAAAATAATTTAAAAGTCTAAATGTGCGCGTATCCCGATAACAGCAGAATTAAACAAACAAAAGATTTTCATCAGGATTTTTGTTTTTATTCCAAAATGTGTCCTGGTTCTAAATACTGATTATCAGGCTCCTTGAAAACTAATAATTGGTACCGTCCCTGAAACATATAATAATAATAATAATAATAATCCTGTATATTTTAGCTAATGCTAGCCTCTGGAGCTTTTCTTGCTTTAACTTAAACACTTTAAACCTTTATTCAGCTGATAGTTACACATTTCTGACGCATTATGACTTCAAAGACCAGTGAAATAACTCAGCTTCTGCTTCATTTTGACCAAACGCTGCGGTTATTGTTGTCTTTGACTTTTATCAGCCACTTCTGTTGTGTTCTGTGGAATAAGCCTAAATTATTTAATTAACCAGGTTAACTTTANGCAGGACGAAGCTCGAAGCCCAGAAGCTTTTGTTCCTTTCAGTTCACGCTGTGAAGTTTTTGCTGCGTATGAAGAAGGTTTGGGGCTTTTAGAGCAACTGTTATTTTAGTTTTTTTATTTTTCCTGAACATTTTCACGTCCAGCTCCTGAAACGTCTCCGTGACAGTAAACTGTTTGGGTTGAAGCAGGACGTTTGCTTTTCTGACGTTTTTTGAACCCAAAATGAATCGATTGATGCAGAAACGTGGAAATGATCATAAATATAAATAAACAATCAACTGAGCTGATGTTTATTAATAATAATACGTCTGCTGGTTCCATCATCAGGACGTGTTTAAACGTATTTATCGATTAATTAACGGAGGAAATCATTAACGAAGTAATCAACGGAGCTCCAGTTATCAGGAAATTTGAGTTATAGATTAAAAATAAACGTATTTATGACTTTAAAGGACCAGTACACACGAGTTAAAGTTCATTGTCATCCCTTTACGTTCACGTTTTCAGACGTTTTATGAACCAGTCGTCAGGTAGTGAGAAAACACCTGACAGGTGAATCAGCAGCAACAATAATGATCATGTTCAGCTCTGAGACACACGGAGACTTTATTCAGACTTTAATATGTTTATGGTGAATATCTTCTGCTTTCTTTCCTCCTTTATGACAATAAACTGAATAACTGTGGATTGTTGCTACAACAGGACATTTGTCATTTTGAACATTTTCTGACATTTTTTGGTCCAACAACGAACCAATTAATGAGGAAAATACTCAATTAATTAACTAGCAATACAAGCAGTGATTGGTTTCAGCTCTGATTATGAGAGAATGTGAGTTATGGAGAAAAATGAATGTGTTTAAGGCTCTGAAGGGAATAAAAAGCAGCCGTGGGGGATTCCAGTTGAATACAAAGCTCTGATCCTCCAGTTTCAGCTTCTTAAATGTGAATATTTCTAGTTTCCTTCCTCCTCCACGACAATAAACCGGATATATTTGGGCTACGGACAAAACAAGACACTTGAGGACATTAGTTTGGAAAAGTTTTCACTGTTTTCTGACGTTTTTTGGCTCAACAACGAACCAGTTAATGAGGAAAATACTCGATAGATGAATCAGCAATAAAAGCAAGAATTAGTTTCAGCTCTAATTATGAGAGAATTTGAGTTATGGAGAAAAATTAATGCGTTTATGGCTCTAATGGGAATAAAAACAGACTTTAGGAAGCAGAATCCTCCAGTTTCAGCTTCTTAAATGTGAATATTTTCTGCTTTCTTTCCTCCTTTATGATCATTAACTAAAATATTTTGGGTTACGGATAAAACCAGACATTTCAAGACGTCGTTTTGGATGTTTTTGGAGTGGAGATCTCCAGAGGCGATAGAAAGCAGCGGTGGGGATTTCCAGGCTGTCCAGGTGAATAGAAGCGAGCGGAGGGAGGATCAGAGAGACGCTGAGGGGAGGCGGATGGAGGCTGTGATGAGGCTTTCTTTCTGTTTTCTCTCACAGGGAAAGTGTTTTCACTAACGAAGCGTGCGTCGCTGATTTATTGGCGCCGAGGCCGTCGGGTCGGTTCCAGTCGTGACCTGATCTCCTTTAACTCGCGTTGATTCATTAAAACACGTTTTACCTTCAGTGTTCAGAAAACTCCATCATGTCAGCTGCTGTCATAAGAAATAAATCACTGCTGGAGAACACATTTAAAACTGTACACTGTAAAAAGAAATAGATTTAAAAAATAATAATAATGAATGAAAAATCTGGCAGCAAGAAGTTTTTTTTCAATTACTAAAGACATTATTAAAATATTTCCTTTTTATTTAATACAATAAAGTGTTCATCTGTGAATATATTTCTGCATTAACAGACACAGAAGCACTGGTTCTGTCATTTTACAGATTTGTTTGTTAAATTTGCAGATTTTATGGAGTTTTTATAACAGAAATGTTGAATTAACGTGTTTTCATCAGTTTATTAAATCTATCAGCTTTGGTAATTTATCATTTTTATATTTATTTTATTTTTATATTATATTATTATATTTATATTTTTAGCTGATTTAAATCCTGTAAAACTCCCTCCTACACGTTGTAGAAGGATGAAGAAATTAAGAATTAAAAATACAGAGTTTTTACAATTTTTCCTTTTTTTTTTTTTTTTT